ATAACGAATAAAGTTTTCTTTCTCTTGTCTTCTTGTAAGCTTTCTCTCTCTCTCTCTCTCTCTCTCTCTCTCTCTCTCTCTCTCTCCTCTCGACCCCCTCTTCCTCCGTCTTGCTCAGACTGACTACATAACTTTGTTTTTAAAAGGTGCCCTGTGGAGTGTTCTTATAAACAAGAGTTTTTGTTTGCATTCAGCGTTACTCACCGGCACGCATTGTGTGCACCCTTGAGGTCTAACAAACACGTTTTATTCTTTTATTCTTTTCCTCCCTCATAGAGAAGCTGTTTTTTCTTAAACGTTTGAAACCTGTTTTTGTTTACTAGCTTCCGGTCCTGTTTTTCACTGCCTTTGTTGGCGCATTTGTGTGTTTCTGGACATTACACAGTCCCGTCCTCAGCACTGCATTCTTTATGATTTGGTGGGTTGGACATTGACCACTCGCAGGCAACAACACTGGTACATTTTTATTTATAAAGTGATACTGGGTAAACTTCCAGAATATCTCTGTAACCTTCCCTGTGTCAGCTCTGGTAGTTAGTGGTTGCTTTTTATTGTCTCCCGGGGTTTGACAGATCTGGGGAAGACTGCATTTTCATACTATGCACCGTAGGCATAAAATAATCAGCAAAAAGATCTTCGACACAGTTCTATCCACTGTGCATCATGACGCATGTGGTGATGTGTCTGAATGGTTCTTCGGTTTTATTGTGGAGTTTTTTTGTATATCAGGTTTTATTATATGTTGGTTGGTGATTGATTTTGTACAGCTGCTACCTCGGCCAGGATATCTCTCAGAATAGTGTGATACCGTGCTTGTGTGTGTTAATTGAGTCCTGTTACGTGCAGTAGTTCTGTCCAGATAGTTCATAAAACCAGAAAGCACAAAGATAGATAGATATATACTTTATTAACCCCCTATTGGGAAATTCTTCTTTTCACTCACACAGGCTGAAATACACACTTCATGCACTTGTGGACAGGCAACAGGGAGAGAGATGGTGAAGTGATGGGCTCACGTTAGCGGCCCCCATGAGCAGTTACTTGGGGTTGGGTTGCCTTGCTCAAGGGCACCTCGGCAGTGCACAGGAGGTTAAACTGGCACCTCTCCAGCTACCAGTCCACACTCCATATTGTGGTCTGTGGGATTTGAACCGGCGTCACCCATCTGTTAATTCTGTACAATCAAACACAGACTGCTGTTCATGTCCCATATGAAACTAAAAACAGTGACATATGACATAAGTGACATAAGTATGTTACATCAGGTAAGTTACAGCGCTATGGACATTTTTATTATTGCTAACTTGACCGCGGAGCCCTGCGTGACCAGAAATGATGCTACACTAATGATGCCCCTAACCCAGTGGCAGTATTTGAGGAGAGCGAGAACGTGTTGAAGTATGACTGAGGACCTAAATTTAGACTCTGGTTCCTTCAGGAAAAACATAAAATGGTTATGAAATGAAAAACAGACTAAAGAGTAAACTCACACAATCTGAACAGAAAATATCGATCAGGATAGTTTTAAAACACTTCCAATCCCACTACTTTCTGACCAATGTAATGATGAACTACAGGCAGTAGAAAGGGGGTAATGTAGCATTCACTAGACACATACAGTCATATAGGTCAGCCAGAGTGGGTCAGCAGTAAAGTGGGACAAACTTAGTGCAGAGTCTGGACAATAGCCTCTTGGGCAAACATGGCTCAGTTAAGCTGTGATCTCCATATGACAGAGGCTGTCTGCAGGTTGGAAGATGTCTATCTTGTAATTGCTCTCATATCTGTCTCTTCCACCTGAGCTGCATTTATCTGTGTTATAAGCCTGCGGTATCGCACACAGAGCCGTAATAAGCCTGATACCAGAGTGACCTAACAGCTGAATAGGTATTATATCAGTCTGTGTGTGTCTTTGTGTGGGTATAAATCAATGTGCACTACCCTAAAATGTTATCCCAGAATGAAAATATAGTGGTTATCAGTCCTGTATGAGTCTTTAAATTGCTCTCAGTCTGGTGTGTATGTTTGTGTGTGTACGTGCCAGCGAGTACACGATGAAGAGTTAGGGTGTGTTTGTGACGGTCTACCTGGCCTGAAATGCAGCAAACTTAAGCCGAACCCATTTGCATGTCTACAGTTTCTGTCTGTGTGACCCGCGCTGACACTCACATTACTCAGAGGGCTGCTGTCTGCTGGCCAGGCATGTGTCAGTGCCTCAGGATAGCCGCAGCCCAGAAAATGCTGTTCAGCCGGGGGGAGAGAGGGAGAGAGGAGGAGGCGAGGAGGGTGAATTACTCGGGGTGAATTCCCACACTAATGCACTGATTGCCAAGGCGTGCCACCCACTAATGATTTGCATAAATAAATATTCAGTAATTATGCCGAGACCTTGTGCACGAAGGATTTTCAGAAATGTACCTCCTGTCACGCTCCAAACTCGAAACTTCAGCAAGAGAAATGCTGCTTAAAAAAACATCACTACACCTACACTTTCATTTACATTAACTGCCGTCTTGATGAGACGTTTAAGGACCCATTCACTAAAAATTGCACATGCTTTAGTTTACACCATTGTGTGGATTTTTCTGTGCTTTTTCAACCTTCCAGGCAGCCGCTGATTTCAGGCTGTTTGAATATTAACTTGCAGAGGCTTTGCACTGTGTCATCAAGTTAAATTATGCCTGTGGAAGGTAAAAGCCTCATTTTAAAAAGCTTCTGCTTTGGTGCATTCAAGTATTAGTATGAAGCTCCAACATCTGAGACTTCAGAACACAAGAAACCACGTCAACGTTTGCCAACGTTTTAGGGCACCAGGGCCAAAACTACCAAACAGTACATATAGTATATAAAAAATAAACTCAACCTTAATACAGCAGTAAAATGCAACATTAATGGAGCACTAATATTAATCCAAAACCATCATAAATAAAAGTAAAACACTGACAGGAACATTTCACTGCTCAATGACTTATTTAAGTAAATTCTGCTTTAATACTTTTTACCTCAGTAAGGTTCAGAATACAGTATTTGTCTGTGTGTTAACGCTCTGAACAAGCAGCGCTCCTCACTGTGGCCTCGGTCTAACTGCATTATATAAGTCCTGCACCTCTGTGGAAATACAGCACAGTCATGGCTACAAGTGTGAAGCAATCAATGTCTTCTATCACACAGTTATAATGCCATAAATCATAAAAAGAAAGAGAAAAAGTTGAATTTCTCTGCTAATTTATTTAAACGGTCAAATCTACAAGTCCCACAAGTGTTCCTAATATTGTCTGAAAAGGATTTAAATCGTTGCATGAATCCTTCACCACTGTGTCCCCCCCCAACTTGATCTTTAAAGGTTCAGTGTGTCACATTTAGGGGGATTTATTAGGAGAAATGTAATATAATATTCATAGCTATGTTTTCATTAATGTATAATCACCTAAAAATAAGTAAAGTGTTTTGTTACCTTAGAATGAGACACCACAACTACTCACCGCTAGAAGCCACTAAATCTCACACACTGGTCCTTTAAGCTGATGGGTGAAAGTACGTGGAGGTAAAGATGTTGGACCCAATCACCAACAACTCTTTATTTCTTAAAGTTTTTGATATATAACTGCTAAAATGTGAATTCTCCTGCAGTGGTAATTCATTTCAGATTAGATTTAGGTGAACGTGGGTCTGTATACTGACGCAGAGGGAGGCTGAAAGAGTTACTCAGCAGGCAGAATGAAGGAGAGAAGGTGCTGATGGGATTTGTTTTCAGCCCAGTGGAGGTGAACTGAGGCTGTACAGTGGGGGGGGTCTCCTGTCTCAGAGGACAGGAAACCATAAGAACGTTGTCTCTGGACAGCTGGGGAGAAAAAACAGTCCAGTCAGAATACATTTTGGATTTATAATCATAAAGTCTAATAATCATGAAGTTTTCCTTTGAGAGTGAATGATCTCAGTGTTTTACAACCCTCACAGCTCTGTGTAATGTGTGTACAAGAACTGTAACAACTTTACCCAGTACGTCGCTGTATGTCCAATACATGCATACATCAGCCTCAGCTGCTTCTTTAACATTGTCACTGTGTTAGCCTGCTGCTGTTAGCATTTAGCTCACAGCACTGCTGTACTGTCTTATTGAGCTGCAGTTTAGGTTTTGAGGAGTTGAGTCACTGCACGTATGAGACTGTATCATGCTTTAATTATATTCCCCCACATTAACTGTACATTATTTAACAGACAGAGTAAAGGAAGGCTACCCACGTCCTTATGTAACTGGAGTTCAATCAATTTATGTCTCCTGTCATAGATCTATTCTGTTGTCCGTAGTGTCCACAGCTCCATCTGTGAGCGCTGTGTTCTTTCCCTGAAGAGTCAGCCAGAGGTGGAGGCAAAAAGATGTATAAGGGACACATCATGTGTCACCTTCAGACCTCCGGCCGCCGGGTCAGACAACACATCGGATGTGTGAATGACGTGTTCGGCGTGCACATGCTGATGGGAACGAGTGCAGCAGTAGACGACGCTAGCTTCAGCGTTTGAGTTGAGGTCCTCTGATTCGTCTCTAACGTGGATAATCTGAGTGATGGGACATAGTTTGAGCATTAATCTCACGATCAGAATCTCTTTTCAACCTTCAGACGTACTCCTGCTCGTAGGACAGCTAATATGTTTTTGCTTTCAAAGTAATTACGTGGTGTCAGATTTTCTCCCACTGTTACCAATTTTTCTAATCAGGTTGATTAAATCTGGTTGCAAGCCGGCCATTAATCCCCACCTCTCCTCTGCTGACTTCCCTTTGACTTTCTCATGCTTTCCATCTCATCTATAGTACAATTATGGCAGGAAAATGGCAGAGCCCTGTGGTAAATGCATTTCATATCAGCCATATCATAGTCATTAGATACGCTAATGCACTCTATCACTTTCTGCTGTGATTATAATAGACCTATAATGTGCTGTTAATCCATGCTGGCTGACCATGCTCCCTCCCTCTCCCTCCCTCCCTCTCTCTCTCTCAGGTTTCGCGGTGAACCTCCAGGTGATCCTGGCGAACCCGCGGGCGCAGTTCAAGCGGCGCGGCTCCCAGCCGGGGATGCAGGAGTCCGACTTCCTCAAGCAGATCACCAAGGTCACCGAGCTGGAGCCCAAGGCCAACAACTGCACCCGGGTCAGTAAGCAGGCACCGCCGACGTTGTCCTGGCCAAAATAATCCTGATATTATCTCGATAAGCATTAAACAGACAATTTTCACATGTAATAAAGGATAAACAGGTGTTATGAAAGATGCTAATTAAGATTCTGAAGATAAACATATTTATATTTGTATGAGGAGTATGAATTTATGTAGAAACTTTCTATGGAAACCCACCTCACTCTGCCAGTAAAACTTAAAAATATAAATATATAAATGTTCATGTTAAGTGAAAAATTCTGAGATAAAAAGCAGAATTTTCATAATTTTGACATTTTAATTCATCTTAATTTCCATTTTTTAAACTTTTAATTTCCTTTTATCTCCTAATTATGACATTTTTCTCTTTATTTTGACTTTTTCTATCATCATTTTGACTTTCATTCTGATATGACAAGTCTTATTAATAATATCTTATATTTGTATTTTATTGGCAGAAACAGTCGGTATAAATCTGAATACAGATATTTTAGGGAGAGCAATATTTAATTTCTATTCTCTATAAAATGAAGGTGATTTTTCTCCATTTGACTTCCACAGTCCCTGCTGTTTGATTATTGTGGATCAGTAATGTAATAAGTTTGTTATCAGACGGCGTTGACCTGCCTGTTGGGGGGGGCACACACTGGAGTTAAATACATTTATTTGGCACCTTGTGTGTTTGTGTGTGGGATATTAAACCGCAGTCATAATAATGGCTACCATCACAGCAGTAACTAACCATGGGGCATCTCTCCCCACTATTGACAGCATGAGTCATGCTTTAAGCTGGTGGCATTGGCTAAACTTAGACACACACAGCTTGAATTGGATAGAAATGGTGTTATAGCGCTATCAATTCTAGTTGTGTGCTTAGACAGCTTAGATCGATGCAGCTCATCTCAAATCACCACAGCCCCTGTTGGCACTTGGTTTTATGAAGCCACTCATCCTCTTGACAACCATCACAGAGCCGCCTTAAAGGACTTTTTGTGACAAATGGATTCTATTACGTTTTTACCTTTTTAAAGGAATATGTGGGCTGAAAGTGTCAGCTGTTCCAAACACGCTGTGAGCAGAAATTCATTTACAGGCTTTTTGTTTTATAAAGTGTGAATGACCTTTTCTGATACTGTTTTAGCCCCGTTAGAGCCTGATAATCAGACTGAACCGTCATTTAATTCCACGTCATTATTTAGTGTGACGTTGTGTTCGTTTACTGTTTGGGAGGAGGGATTATTCAGCTCCAAGCAACCAGCAGTGCAGATTCCAGGGTTGTATAAGTCCACTTACAGAAGCATGTATAGCTGTATCAATCTTCCACGCTCGTCTCCCCTTCTGTAGGCAGTTCTTCTGTTGCTCTTTTTCTGGTTCTGACACAAAATGACGGCACCCCCCCACCCCTTCGTAATCCTGCCTATAAAGCTGTGGCTGGCTGAGTCTGGCCCGGTTTCAGACTTCTGCTGCAATTCAGAGGTTTAAAAAAGGGAACCAGTGAAACTGACGAACGCACTACCTGAATAAACTGACAGATCTCTCTGGATTTAAACACTGTCGGAAACATTTAATGGAGGTGAACACTCACACAGATGCCGGTGTTCAGTTGTTGCATTAGTTATTTGCAGGTGAAAGTGGATGTATGAAGAGGAGGAAGGGGGGTCAGGGGTCTAGGTTTCTCTGCTGCACTCCAGCTGATGGTAAAGCAAACAACATCACAACTGTTGGTTCACTGCAGTCAGTTCAAGCTGTGTGACTGCAGCATGTGGTTTTAGTTCGGGCCAGTAGAATTAGTTAAATGAATTATTTTACGCTGGTAGCCAAGTCTCCATCCTCCTCCTCCTCCTCCTCCTCTCCCCTCATTACACTGCAAACTGTAAGCAGCTGCTTCGCCCGATTCAACACGAGAGAGATCTGAATGTGCAGTTTCACAGGTCACATGGTTGCACTTTAAGTCCCTGGTGGGTTATGGGTAACTGTTTCCTGCAGGGAAAAGGATAAAGACCCCCGGAGCTGCTGGATCATCACTTACAGCTGGCTGCCACCGCCGCTGCTGCCGCCGCCGCCGCCACAGACAGCTCTGTGTTGAAGCTATCATCATCATTATCAGGCCCATTACGCTAATGGAGGAGCCCTGCCGCTGATATTAATACAGGCCATTAGCAGGCTGTGACATCATCAGTCATCCCCCGGCAACGCGCAGACTGGAGGACGTGACATCAGCATTCATCACGTCACAGCGGGATGTGACATCATCACTCATAAAGCCGCCGCGGTGCAGTCAGAAGACGTGACTGCGTTTATCCAGAGATTGTAACTCACAGCCGGCGCCATCATCACCGAGAGACGCCATCATCACCGAGAGACGCTTCTCTCAACAAATACTGTCAGTGTGATTCAATTAACACAACCATCAATGCCTTTACCTGGTACAGAGTCCATGCTGCACGTCTTCCTCCCTCCCCCCCTTTCCTCTCGATCTTCACTTGTCCTATCAAAATAAAAGCATACAAAGCCTCAAAAATATCTTAAAAGTTAGTATGCATTGTTCCACCTGCTGAATGTTTCCATCTTCCAAGCTAGTTTCCTGCTTTGTGGCGTGCACGAGTCCAAATTAATCCAGATTGGATTTCAAATCAGTAGGGTAGTAAGGTTGTAACTAATTATTTTGTGGGGTAACTGTAATATTATTACCAGTAATCCAGTACTGCCCCAACACTGAACAACGCACGCTGACATGAACGTGAACCGATATTATCCTGACAGTCAACCGTCAATCAATCTTTAAGAGTCTGCTAACACTAAATTAACCTTCGTAACAACTTTAAGGATTTTATTGTGAATTTTGCACAAAAAAATTACAAAAATTATCAATATTTCAGTTAAACTGTTTTTTTTTTGTTTGCATTTTTATAGTAACTGTAGCGTAAATGCATAAATAATAACTTTATTGGTTTTTAAAACAAAGTGCTTTATATATACTCACAAAATAGCAGCAATAAAGAATAAGATTAAAACAATATGAGGTGGACAGAATACAACCAAAAACACACCAATCAGAGAAACTGTTAAAGAGAGACACATAACAGTGTGCACCGCGTATGTTGGAAGAACCACTGAACACTGTGCTGTTAGTTGGTGTAGTTGGTTTTAATGGTTGAACCCACAGACCGACGTAAAGAGACCAACAGCAGCGATTTATAGAGAAAATGGCCGAAATATGGAGATACAAGGTTTCCACCCGACAGTGATGATATGTATCAGACGAGAAGAGGAAGTAAAGTGATTAATGACTCTCACCTCCAGCTATCAGCAATGATCAGTATTTAATTCTCCTCGGGGCAGCAACGTAACGCAGCAGCTGAGAGGAACACACGTCCCCCCAAACACTCCCTAATCACCCTCATTATCTCTCTGTAGCATCCATCCAGTATCACGGGAACAGATCCAGGTTCAGGAGGGGGGGCACTCCCTGGGGCTCGATCGCCCCCCAGGGCTCAGTTTAAAGTCAGATTAAATGAAAAATGCCTTTTTAAGCCGGTAAGATCACTTCCACACTCATATTGCCTGTTTTTATGCCAAAAAGTCCATCGAGACATTTTCTCCCTGTGAACCACAATCAGTGTTCAAAAGTAATATTACTTCACTTATTACTTCCTGCCAACAGTAATTAGTTACACTACTAGTTTATATTACTTTCCTGCTACTCCCCATAAGATCAAAGTAATGGAATATTTGCAGCTGCTGAATGTTTCCATCTTACAAACTAGTTTCCTCCACGATTACAAAAATGAATCAAAGGATGTGATTGTGAGCAAGTGCTGGAAAATCCTCCTGGAAAAGGTCCTGGAAAATGACTTTTTAAAAAGAGCGGGAACCTTGTTTTAGCAACACAGAGCAACAAGATTCATTAGTTAGCTAACTAGCGCGACAAGCCCCCCCTCCCCTTTTAAATCGATCCCCTTCGATCTTTCGGTGTATGTCTTCTCCTGTGGATGCGTGAAGCTTATTATTTGGTTCTTTGTACAACGAGATGTGGCCACATGAGAGACCAGTGAACCTCAGTTTGAACCAACCTGTTTATATTCATTTAGACAGAAGGAAAAAGAAACCCCACCCAGGTCAGAAGGTGCTGTTTACCTGTATTATTTTCTGTATGAGGCTGGGATGTAGCTGCAGCAATGACTCAGGCCACCAGCGGGTGTTCCTCTCCAGTGTTCCTCAGCTTTCCATCAGCTCTGGAGGTGACAGAAAGAGGCCGTGAAGGTGCGACCGTGGCGGTTCGCTGCTGTTTATTTACAGTGTAGCTGCGATCATCCGGCCTGCGCCTGCTGCCGGTAAATGCCGCAGGGTCAATTCTTAATGTTTTTAATAATGCACGAGGTTAGAGGCTTCCTCGTACAATCGGTGACCAGCTCTCCCTCTCTCAGCAGGCGGCGGGGGTGATGAGGTCCTGACTCACCCCGACTCGGCTGTGTGGTGATGGAAACGCGGTGGCAGCATTTGTCAGATGTTTGTTGGATTCAGAGTTCATTACAGCGCCAGCTTTTGTAGTGTTTGGACACATTCTGCCACCGGCTGGAGCAGGTTTCTTTCGGGGGGGAAAAGTTCACTCAGGAAATTCTGTTCACTGCTACAGAACGTTTTATATCAAAGAGAAATGGTTTGAATTATTCCGAAAAACATTATTTCTTCCTTTCTAAGTCCAGGTGAAAAGAGAAATGACTTTTTAACACAGAAAGATTGCATCTGTTATATTGTGGCCCTATTTAACAATGTAGGCCAAAACATCCACAGAGATCTCCTCTCCAACATATAGAAGCCAGTTAAATAAAAAATAAGATGAAAACTTGATTAATAAAAAAAGTTCATGTTAAGTAGAAATGATTAGATAAAAAGTCAAAATTAGGAGATGAGATTTTAATTTGCTGGCCGAAGTGGGCTTCCATACCAAACCCATCAAAATCACTAAAACACTGAATAAAGCAGTTCCACCTTAACAATCACCGCTTCTCCCACGCTGTTGGACAGACAAAGGACGTCCCGGAGGGGCTGCGAGCCGAGCTGCTGCTAACGTTAGCTCAGCTTGTTTCTCTGATCACTTCAGATCCAGACGTCTGATGAATCTAGAGTTAAAAAGCACCAAGATCTAAACAGTGGATGGTAACAATGTGGCTTCAGACTGGATCAACAGTCAATGTATGACAGCCTCTGGCAGACAACCACAACGCTGAGGCGCAGCATTACCTGAATACATGTAGAGAACATTGTGTTTATAGAGTTTTTAATGCCAGAAATGTTACGTATTATAGATTTAAACTATTTTTGGGGAATCAATCAAGCTTTATTCAAATCCGCAGAGAAGGAAATCCAAAAGGATTTTTTTAAAGAGCTGAGACAATAATATACAGTACATTACATCACTGAATGACATCATCAGAGATTGTTAATAGCCGTATTGATCAGTGAAGTTAAATCCTGAGAACTGTAAATATCGGTGCTTCGGTTGCGATATCGATGCCCTCTCCAGCAGCTGTGACACACCCGCGCTGCAGGCTCTCTTTCCACTTTGAGGAAGGTATCTAGGATCAGATCACAGAGCCCGAATCCCGACCTTGACAATGGAGGGCAGAAATGCTCGTCTGATGGCCGGGTCGGTATCTGGAGACAACTGACAGGAGCCGTGATGTAGTTAGAGCAGCAGAGTAATGGCAACAGACAGCAGTGACAGGACAAGAGAGGAGAGGGAAGGCAGGAACAGATGGAGACAGATGATAGCACAGGAGGAAAATGAGATAGAGAGGAGGAGAGGAGGGAAAGTAAAAGCCTGTGTAGAGAAAGAGGGGGATAGCTAGATGAATTGACTGAAGGTGGAGTTAAAAAGGAAGAAAGGAAAGTGACACAGGGACGTCTGGAACACCACCGCTGTCTATTTCATTTGCATTGGCTTTCAGGTTTAAACTTCATTTTAGTTTTATTAATGCGACTAAAACACTTCCCTCCAGCACGAGATCTGGTTCTGGGGGGATCTGATCCTCAAAACCCTCAAACTGATTTGATGCATTTTCCCTCTCTGTCCCATTAAAGGATCATTCGGAAGTCTATTCTTAGAAACAGCAGGTGACAAAAACAAGTCTCAAGTTCTTAAAGTGCTCAGAGCTGAGGAAGACTAATGGACCCAGTGGTGTGATTGTTTGATTTAATCTTACTTACTTTTATTTTTTGTATTTACTTTTCATTTATTGGATCATTTTTCTGTCAGGAGTTGTCACGTTTTCCAAGTTTGAACCCGTCAGTGTGCGACCACGCCCTTTATTGTGCATTATTATAATCTGAATGGGTGAGTTATATAAAAACTGGTGTCATTATTATTTATTAAACACCACCGTAGGTGGTAGTTCCATTGTTTGATAAAACTGTCTCACACACGCAGGTTAGCCGGACTCTGACTTATTCTATGATGTTGTTGTGTGCACACAGTTTTCCTGTGCAATGAGGGATTACTACAAACACTTTTATCTCCAAATAAAGGGTTAGGTAATCCTCCCGGATCTCGGCACTAGGCCGATAAATTTTAGATTTTAGATATATGTATTATTTATATATTTTTTCTTTTTGCAGATATATTGGTATCAGTGAAGCGGGAAAACATTTATTGAATAATACTCAAATTTGTGGGATTCTTTTCAAAAATCATGTTCCTGTCATGTGTTTGTTTTATTAAACAGAAGGCTGATTCAGTTATCACCTTATTATCGGGCTATATCCGATGTGCAGCACTACGGTTGAGTATCCGGTACACATAATGTCTATATCCGTTCTCATAAACTTTCTTACTCTTGTGATCAGAACCATCGCTCTGAAGAATAATTCTGTGAATAGTTTTCTAATAAATACTGGTGGTCAACCCATATCAACACATTAGCCCCGCCCACTCCAGGTTTAAGCACCACCCACGTCCAATTAAGCCACACCCGCTCCGAGGACTGTAGACTTTAAGTGCAGTCATCCAAGAGGTTATTTTGAGGTAAAACTAAAAACTGTTGCTACCCAATCATCCAGTTCCTCCTCCTGATGGGGAGGAACTGGCCTCTCCTCGACTTATTCCATTAAGGCAAAAAGAAAAACCTAACCTGGTAAAGCTTTTTGTCTCCAGGTTGCCTCAGGGAGGAAGAGCAGGAGAGCGTGCGGGGGGGAGAGGTAAAAACTAGAGCAGAGCCATGAGAGAAAAAGTGGACGTGATGAATGAGGAAAATAGAGAGAAAACCAGGAGCAAGGAGGAAGAGAGGTGTGTGAGTCCAGGGGAACGGGGAGGGCACAGACTCACATTCAGTGCCATTTTCCCCACAGCTCTGGAGCGATGCTTTAGTGGCTGCTACATTAGCCTCGTTAGATATGCAAAGTGGGCCAATTAGCAGCACAGTGTGCAGGAAGTGACACGTTCCACCTGAAGAAGCCCAGAAACAACAGCAGCCAGCAATAAATCACGCCTCTGTGAACCCGTTCCTCTTTGGACACAGAAATGTCACACTTGAATTATAAACTCATTAGCTATTCGCTAAAAAAAAACATCCTTAATCCAAATAACTTCACTATAATCTCCAGAGAATGAAACTCGCCCTTTCCTTCAGGAAAATCAGAATCTTTGCATCCGCGGCGTGTTTTCTCACCAACATATTGCTGTGAAATTGGCTGCAAACACAAGACAAACAGCTGCAGCGAGGTACGTGCTGCTTTTGATTTGATCCATTTCAGGAGGTGTCAGGCTGTTTCCTGTGTGTGTGGAATCCCTCCCGGCAGACCCGAGCATCAAATTCAACAGCAGGAGGATACAATGCAATCTGTTTCAAAGAATACAGCAGTGTCTTTCATTTGACAGATATTTCATCAGAGCATCATCAAGCAATGAAGCCTTTACTTCAGAAAGTCTTTCCAGCGAGGGGAATGCAACTTCCCCACCAGCTTTAGACCAATATAGTCCAATCCAATCCAATCCAACAGTGGAATATACTGAAGTGTGCTTCATTCCGCCCGTCTCTGATCTTTGTGTCAATATCTCTTAACACCCATGTGGATCTGAAGGGACTCGTTAGCAGTTCTGATCACATGTAATTATCATCCCAGGAGAAACGTTTGTCTTTTGATGAGAGACACAGACAGATCTGTGATCTGCCGCTAACATTACACATATTCTTGTGTCTTTTCTGAGCATCGTGCTTCTACTGTTCGGATCCGTTCGGACTGTCCTCGGGTCCCTCTGGGATCAGATCTCTCTTATTTAGAAGATGACTTTACGCAGGTTGGGTTTAATAAGGTCTTCAATGTTCAGTGTTTAGTTTCCTTTTATTTAGAAAGATCTGTGTATCAATCCCTCACTGTACAGTGACTGTCTACTGTAGGTGAAAGGGGAACTATGGAGGACATTTACAGCTAGAGACGCACCGATACCGATCAGCAGCATCGAGGGTCGGATCAGATACTGTGCTCATGTGCTGGTAATCATAAAACTACTTTGATCGCGCTCTATGGCAACGTGACGTTAGTTGGAGAACTACATTGTGTACATCCATGTTTAGCACATTGCTACTGTCAATCAGTTGTGTATGTTGCTCCACAGCACTAACCTGCACTGGGTGCCTTTAACTGGAGTATTTAAATACTGTGTCATTACTGGTAGCAGACACAAACAAATTAAGGCTTTGAGCCAAAGAAATATCAATTGAACTTTTATCATCCACAGTATCAGTGAAGCTCTGCCTTCCACCTGCAACCGTGCCGTATTTATTTTAGCACAACAGCCTGTTCATTCTTTATTTAGTAGCCAGTGTTTCCACTGTCAGCAGATTTTCTCATCCTTTCTTCTTCTTCTTCTTCTTCTGTTTTTCAGGTGCTGGTTTGGCACACTCGCACAGAGAAACCGCATCTCGCAAATGAGCCCAAACATCGGAAGGACACTGTGGTCATCGAGGTGTGAGGGGACGAGCTGAGCAGCGGATCCAGAAGCCGACTGTAGCTGGCCATCATCTCTTGGCTGGGACTAACGATAGCTCTCTCTCCTTATCGGTCGCATACAATCTGTTCACGAAGAACACAGACTCTGAGGAGCTGTGTGATTCAACACTTCTGGCTGTCTGTCAAACTCTAAGAACTGGACAGCACCAAAAAAACGTTCGTTTTACAAACTGGGATGACTCGTTTCCAACGTCCACGGCTTGCTGATGTAAAAAAACTAAAATGTAATTGTAAAAAAATTTCATGTTGCTGAATTGAAAAGTGCCATGTAAATCATTAATGTCATTTTTAGTCAATACATCGTCAGAGTAACTGTGGTGCAGATTACAGTGCTATTGTGATGCTGTTTCCTGTCTGTGCATTAAGAACGAAGCTGGTATCAGGATGCTGTTTGCAGTGGTTCAGAATTAACATTAAAAGCCAAAATGCAGGTAAATTTTGAGTTTGGCTGAAAAATAAATTGGGGTTATCGGCGAGATGTCCGGTAAATGATTTAGGGACAGATTTTCATCACTTTATGTTTTTTATATGTAGTGGCTGGGACTAATGTGACCCTCACTGTCCACCGTATCAAATCAAAGCAGCTCAAGATGATCTAGCGCAGTGGTTCCCAACCTTTTTCTTTAAGGAACCCCTTTTCTATCATTAATAAACTGACTCAGTGACATATTTTATAGATATTTCATATTCAAAACTGTGCAATGAACTCAAACAGTGAACTACTTGTGTAAAACCAGAGATTTGGATGAATTTTGAGCAGATCATTTCCTGTTTAGGGAACTTTTTATACAATTCTCTGTCTGTATTCTGTATTTTTTTTATAATTGTTAACAATCATACAGACTTAATCAGCTTCTTTTCTGACAAATTCAGTGTTTTCTTCTCATTGTTCTTCTAGAGAATTTTCTTTACATTCATTTTTCTTCACAGAAGTGAACCAAATGTTGAGTTATAGGCCTACTGTTTATATTTTTTAAGTTTTCCTACATGCCTTAAAATCAAGAAGGCCTCACGACCCCCACAAAGCTTTGGCGCCCCCTAGTATAGGGACCCCCAGGTCGGGAACCACTGCTCTAGCACTTTCTACACAAGGTCTATATGTTTACTGTAAGAAACATCTGCATTACATGTTATTTGAGATGTAGCGACACCAAAATGAAAGACATGGAGACAAGGAGATCGAGGTCCTGCAAGAGGCGACCTCTGGGCGACACTGAAGCCCCAAACTCCAGGCTAAAATATTAAGGTTCAGAAAGGCTTAAAACTTGAGGGAGCTACTTTAAGTCAAATCATGCATGAGGCAGTTTTACGGCCGTTTTTTGGCAGAATTTTCTCGGTTTACCTGCTATTGGCACATGAGCCACAAAGTTCATTTTGGACCCTGCTGTTATATAACGTAGCTAGTTTATCATAAAGACTGTAAAGAGCTAGCGTCACACTATCCAGAGTTCAAGAATATGTCTACCAGCACCTCATTTATTTAACCTGTACATGAGCAGAAAAGTAGAACCAACTATTTGTGGATTTAGGGGAAGTTACGTGTTGTAACTACAGCTTTGGGAACAGACAGATGAACTGTTCATTCAGAAATATCCCCAACAACTCCCTGTAAAATTCAATTGTGATTTTTACACTACAATTAGTTATTGATGTGTTAATTAGCTTTAATTAGCTTTAACCACAACCTCCAGCTCTGTACTTAAAGAAAGATGTTGGCAGTTTTTCTCACGTCACATTCAGAATGAAGGCAAGTTAGTGAATTTCCTAAAATATTGATTTGTTTTTAACCATTGACATATAAAAGATGGACGTTGCAAAGCCAAAATATTCGGATATAGGTCATAAAGCCTGCTGCCTCCATGTTACCAGATGGGACAAAAATCTAAGTAAAATAAATTTTTCCCAAAAGATGATTTCTGGTATCTCATCACACGTATGTTCAAGTGTTTTTCTATAATTTTTCTGATAAGTTTGGTTTTAATTAATGATTTATTAGTTATTTGAAGCTATAAAAAGCGATTGACTCGGCCGGGTGAAAGATGGCAGAAGCCGTATCCGGGATATTTTGGGTGTGGAGACGTCCATCTTTCTATGTGTAACCCCTTTCCCACCACTCCCACTGAGCTGATTAAAATGTTGCAACGGAATTCTTTACATCAGCTTTTCACGCTGTTTTATCATCTGCAAATGTTTTAGGTTTGTTTGTTCTGTCTTCACGGTGGTTGATACCTGGAAGACACCAATTTAGAGGCCGACACACAGCTAGGTTCCCCAGCTCTAGTCTTCTTTATTTAAATCAATCAGAATAATGTCTCAGAGTTAATGTGGGAATGATTTATTAATGCACAAACGCTGTGTCCTCAACTCATCGTATGTGATGAACTGGACCGACCTTTTCCTCTTTCTGTGAAGTATGTGATCAGGTTTGGAAAAATGCCCCACGTGAAGGAACTAGTAAGATCCCTCCTGACAAGCTGCCATCAATAATGAAGAGTCTGTGGGCTGACAACAAAGAAAACTCACCTCTCAAGTAAACTCACCTGCCAGCGGAGGAATAAAAAGGAACTGGATATAAGCAGCGTATCAGACAGGCCTGCATGTGAAAGGGCCGCTTCCTTCAGTGAACGTTAACGCCAGTGTTGTACTGGCGCTTAAAGAGGACTGTGTCGGTGTGCCATGGGAATAAAAAACGCATTCAATCCAGGATTCAACAGCCTTTATTTCAAATGACCCTCTTGTAAAACTTGGAACAGAAAAAAAAAGAAGCAAACGAATAAAATTCCCAAAAGATAAAACAGTACTTTTACAGTTAAAAGAGTCATTGGACAGGTGAACACAGAAAAATTCCTGTATATATATATATCTTTTTTTTTTGAATGCACGGAAACCACTTTTTTTTTGTTCTCTGTACTAGGCACCAGAAAATGTAAACACATTGGAAATAAACCTGGAGGACGTTAGATTTATTGAGCCTGTGTGTACGAGTGCTACGGTTATTGCATGGCAGAAGGACCCTGTGTGTACGGACGTTAATCTCTGCGTCGGCGCTCGGCAGTGTGGTCGTAACTGTGTGTGTGTTTCCTGTTCTTACTGCCAATAAAACAAGGACTGGACAGTGGTGATGGGACCCATCCAGCAGTTTCATACAGGTCCCCTTTTTGCAAGCACTGTCCAATCCTCTTCCTCGTCCCTGCCCGTCTTAGCCCTCTGATTGGTCGTCCAGGTTTATTTGCTTCAGACTTAACTGTGCTTCTCTTGTACTGCACACAACGAAACACCACAATAAAGATGGCGGATGGCAGAACGTACGGTGAGAGCGTCACATATGAAGAGGAGAAACATTTCGGGGTGTCCGATTTTAAAATAATAATAATAATTGAGGAAATCCCGCCCTGCAGTGGTTATCCGGCAGTTCACTGGTCTCTGCTGCGATCTGAGAGGTAGAACTCAGAACACAGCGAGAGACGCAGTACCTGCTCTGCTATTTAAAGTGCAGTGAAGACAAACCGCTGTGATTCCAGTGGTGCTTTCATTCGCTCGGGGAGCGCTGGGGAAAACGGTTCGTTTCAACAACAAGGAATGTCTTAACTGGGTTGGAGCGCGGTTTCTAGTCAACTCGGCTCGTCTGGGTTTAAAACACTTCAAAAACACCACAGCGTTGCTACCACAGACACTCAGGGGACCCGGGGGCCGTCCAGCAATTACTGAGACTCGAAGGGAGTCGTTGGCATTTGGAGTTTTGGGTTGTTTTTAAACCAGCGAGCAGGATGGGAAACAGGGTCGGGCCAATATATCCGCCTGCTGATAAAACTACTGATACTGGAACAGTGGCCAGAAGGTGTTGCCACAGCCAGTGTAGTGTATATACATCAGTGGTTCCCAACCGGTTTTGGCTTTTGGCCCTTAAAGCAAAGGAATGTGTAGTTGCGATGAGGCAATAAATTGAATTAAATGTAACGTGACAGATGGTTGGCTTCTTTAGCTGTCTTGAGTTACAGCAGTCCCTTAAACTGTGATATAAATGCTGCAGTTTCCAGCACTGTGTGACTCCAGATGGCCGGCTGTAGTTGTCTTGTAACAAATCCAGAATCTACTAAAGTTTTGGACTCAAGAAGGACTCCACACACTGATCGGGGCTTTTGGTTTGTGTTTGTTGATGAGACACTATCCTCGTTGTTGGAGACAAAGCTACGGGAGTGAACAGTGTGCTGTTATCGCTTTGTTCAGTCTGTGCTCACATGTCTAAGTATGGAGCTAGACTCTCGAGATGATTAGCTTAGCTTAGCATAAATACTAGAAGCAGGGGTCAAACTGTTCCAGCACACTCCCTAAAAGTAGTGGTGTAACTACTTCTCGACTTTTAAAAGATGGACGCTGCCTCTCTGTTTTTTTGTAATGAAACTGCAGGACAAAGTGTAGTAGCTGCTTTTATTTGGGTAAGCAACGTGTTCCAGTGAGAATAAAATTGCGAGTAGTTTGGTGACGTATGGCTCAACGTTTTGCACAGGCTCCCAGGAAACTACAATAATTGGTCCGATTTTGTTAAAGCTGCAGTAGGTCATTTTTAGAAATATAGCTTTTTGTCATATTTGCTGAAACTTTCACTTTATTCTCACAGTAGAACATGAATGAATCCCAAAGCGTCTGTACTGGACGCCCTGGGAATGAGACTCAACAATCAACTCTCTTGCCTCTCTTGTCTCTCTCAAGCCTCCAACCCAAACGTCTTTACGTCTTTCATCCGGCCCCGGTGGATTCTTGTAAATGTCATTAGGAGAACTAGAACGATGCAGAAGAACCTGTTTTTTTCACAGATTATCTGTCTCATGTTCTACTGTCGGGATATAGTTATTTTTTATAAAAATGACCCACTGCAGCTTTAAGATGAATAGTTCACGCTCCAGTATTTCACAATTAAGAAGCAAATATTCAGAAAAATAATTAGGAACCACTGCTGTATACAGTCTGCTGGGGGAGAACACCTGGTTGTAATGAGACACTGTTGGACGTAATACGAGGAAAATGGTCCAATTACGTAACAATGACTCAATGAATCAGTGCAAAGTAACGTCTATACTGTCAACCTTAAAGTAAACTGATGCCCCCCCAGTGGAGTGTCACATGATGAAGAGAACTCAAACAAAACAAAGTCATGGAGAGTCGGAGCGTCACCCTCTCTCCTATGGCTCTGAAGAAAGTGGAGGGTTCACATCTTATTCACATAAATACAGTGCTGTTCAGACGATTATCTGCTACGAGGCTCTGCTCGCCCTACAGAGAGGGGGAGGGAGGGGAGAGGAGGAGGAGGAGGAGGAGGGGGGAGGGTTTACAATATACACAGCAGAGAGAGAGAGAGAGGAGGGGGTGAGGACAGGGTAGCATAGACCAACCACAAGATAGCCATATCTACTGTAGGTACTGACAGACTATTCACTAACTATCCATTTGGTACTGATATAATGTTACTAGAATAGACACTAGCAGTTATTGGTCCAGCAGCTTTCTGGTTTTTGTCTCTTTCTTCAGACAACAACACCCAAAGGAAACCAAAAGAGGAAATAAAGACGGGAAAGCTGCCAGTCTTTCTTTTTTTTTTCTCCCACTCCATCCAGTGTGATCTTTCTTTAAAGGAACCACGGTGAAGGTGTGCAGGGTTTGGGAGGGGCGTTGAGGGCAGGTACACCGCCCCCTGCTGTGCGTTCTTTACTCTGTGAGGAGATGGGTGGGTCAGGCCCCTCCCTCCCTCTCCCCCCCCACACACACTCATCCTCTGGACCCCCCTCTCGTCACTTCCACAGCTGAGTGCTGAGGGTCTGGCCGGAAGCTGCCGGTGGAGCCGCGGGCCAACCAGCCGCGGGGGCCCCTGACTGGCTGAAAGTGGCTGGCACAGGCCCTCCACCGCTCATGGCCATGCCTGACATCTGCTGGGTCATCTGAGCGAGAAAAGAAAGGGGGAGAGAGAGAGAGAGAGAGAGAGAGAGAGAGAGAGAGAGAGAGGGAGGGAGGGAGAGGGGGGAGGGAAGCGTTAGAATTCATCAGAGCAAACTGAGACAGCTACTCCCTCGTCCCGTGAGCTGGGGGGCTTCTCTCCATCCTCCATTCCTCGCTTCTTACCTTCTTAAAGGCTTCGGGCCTCCCCTGCTCCCTGCCCTCTCCTCCCACCCACTCCCCTCTTCCCTGCTCACCTCCCAACTCTTCACCCCCCCATCCACCTCCACTGCTCCCCTGCTCGCCTGCCTCCCTCCATCCTGTCTTATCTATTATTAATGTGCTCTGGTGCAGCGTTGCTCGCTTATCTGGTCATCTGAGAGCTCTGTGTGTGTGTGTATGTGTGTGTGCATGTGTGTGCATGTGTGTGCATATGTGTGCGTGTGTGTGTGAGTGGTTATGTGACGGCCAAACCTGGACATACATGCAACCAATCACCCGTTCATCAACTCATTCCATTACGTCTTCCTGCACAATATGCTGCTCAGCATCCCCCCCCCCCCCCCCCCCCCCCCCCCACCTCCACTGTTCAGAGGCAGCGACGTGTGTGTGTGTGTGTGTGTGTGTGTGTGTGTGTGTGTGTGTGTGTGTGTGTGTGTGTGTGTGTCTCAGTGGTGATTTATGATCTCTCATTAACCTCCCCAGTTGTCAAGATTGCTGACAACAGTTTTGAGTGCCGAGTGCAACCACACACACACACACACACACACACACACACACACACACTGGACACACACACACACACACACTGGACACACACACACACACACACTGGACACACACACACACACACACACACACACACTCAAATAATGTTCTTGTTCCTACAGTTTGATGTTTGAATGATACATGTGCACATTATTTTAAGGGGCGGTGCCTACAAGCATTATTAGTGACATCACAAATAATTAATTTTTAATGAGGCGGAAGGAGGAGAGGACTTTTTAAAGATTTTAATGTGGACGTGTTAAGAATTTCTATTTTTGCTGTTCTGAGAGAATAAAGTGCTGTTAGCTGATGAGTCGATAATATATAATATATAGAGAATATAATCATTTAAAGAAGAGTTAGTTATGAGTCTGTGTCCGTTTGCCTGAGTACTTTCACATCCGCCTCTTTACTGAAGCTAATGGATGAAAATGACTGTACACACGGTGGAAGATCTGATTTGACAGACTACGTATATATCCAGTTTAACTTGTTGTTAATAACAGTGTCATGGTTGCACTTGGGCTCAGTGATTAACGCCTTGTTTAATTAAATCCCTAATTGACAGTACAGCTTCACTTTAAGCCCTCTGAGACTTTGGAAGCTCGACTCAGTAAATGTTAATTAGTTTGGTTCGTTAACTGGGATCAATTTAAGGTTATAAAATGTAAAAGATCCATTTTCCACCTGCTGTTAACATTTGATCTGGAAGGAAGAAGGCACGATGATGGAGAGGGAAATAAATAAATATGAACACTGAATAATCTGCTGAAGTCACAGCAGTTTGGTTTAGTGTGTGTGTGTGTGTGTGTGTGTGTGTGTGTGTGTGTGTGTGTTATACTGTTAATAAAACCTAATAACACCTGTTAATACTTCTAATAATATGTAATGATGTGGTTTTAATGCAGATTGTTATTAAGTGCAGATTTTCTGTTATTCAGAAGAACTTAAAGGTTCAGTCTGGAGGATTTAGCCAAATACTGGAACTCCCTCGCTTCACCCTCCCCTTACAAGCAGAAACTACTATCTTGAGTCAGTGTTTGGTTTGTCCCTTCTGGGCTACTGTAGAGACATGGTGGAGAAAAACACAACGGTTCCTACATTCAGTTGATTATACACTAATGGAAACATACTTATGGATATTATATAATATATATAATACAATGGACCCTCCTCAGTCTGCCAGCTCCATCTAATCCAACTAATCAGCATATTTAGATCCAATTAATGTGCACAGAATCATAATGATAGAAGCATTAGCCCCAGGTGTGAATGCAGGGACCCTGATCTGTGGATCCAGGTAAGGTTTTATGTTTAAACCAGGTGTGAATGCAGGGACCCTGATCCGTGGATCCAGGTAAGGTTTTATGTTTAAACCAGGTGTGAATGCAACCAGAACTCCGTCAGTTCGCTCTGGTACTGCGTCTGCCTGTTGCTGCTCAGGAGGAATAACTGAGGCAGAGCCAACCTCCACTCCTGGGTTTTTTGTTTGTTTCAAATCAATCAAACACATCACATCTGTCATATCGGAGCTGGGCAGCCCCGACTGGAGCAGATTGGATTTTAACTAGAGGAGAAATATTGGCTCCACACTGTATGCTGCTCCGTTCCTGCAGGCTGTAGTCAAATGTTTAATCACTGGCTACAAAACTCAAGATCTGAACACCATTATGAATAATAACGGACTTTATTATATAATTGGTACTACATTTTCCTCCACCCAGCTAGTTAGTTAGAAGTTTAAATGACTTTATCACCGCTGCATCATTTCATGGTACAGGGCAGGAATCTGGGACAAAGGGATACAAATGTTAAAGAAGTCCATTATATATAATAATCTTAGTTATAAAAACAATTGAATGGCTGATTAAAGCGGCTCTTATCGGGCTCTTAGCAAGGCTGAAGGGGGGAGGTCATTACCGAGCGGCGAGCAGAACATTGTGTAAGACCATTTATTAACTTTAAGGGCCCAGATAATAAAACTCTTTCACAGGTGGTTTACAGGAGTGGTTCCCAACCTGAGGGTCGCGATAGCTTAACGGGGGGGTCGCAAGGCCTTCTTGATTTTAAGGCGTGTAAGAAAACTAAATGAAAATACACACAGTAGGCCTATAGTTCAGTGTTTGGCTCACTTCTGTGAAGAAATGTAAAGTAAATTGTTAAATTGTTGTTGGAATAGAACAATGGGCAAACATCACAGACCATAAAGACGCTGAATGTGTCTGAATGATTGTTAATATTTATAAAAAAAAGAGAGAATTGTATAAAAAGTTTCCTAAACAGGAAATAATCTGCTCAAAATTCATCCAAATCTCTGGTTTTACACAAACTTCCTGCAGAGTTCACTGTTTGGGTTCATTGTACAGTTTTTAATATAATATAAAATATACATAAAATATGTCACTGAGTCAGTTTATTAATGATAGAAAAGGGGTCCCTCAAGGAAAAAAGTTGGGAACCAGTGCTGTAGAGGAAAAATAACTAAACTATATTTATGACATTTTTATTTAAGACAGTAAACAAGTGAGTGTGCTTCCTAAAATATTAATGTGCAGAGCAACTGGAGTGGAATTACAATCAGCTCAATGAGTTCATCGCCAACATAAAACAAATGAAGTCTGGATAACGTGTGTCTTTGTCTCTACCTGGCTCATATTCCACTGTCCTTGCTGCTGTCCTTGCTGCACGCCGTACAAGTTCTGACCTTGGCCGGCTGGCATCGCGCCCTGGGGCTGCTGCGGCACGCCCACGTAGCCGCCGTTGGGCAGAGCCATGCCGGACATCACGGCCCCTCCGCCCATCATGGTGGTGGGTGGGCCGGCTCCGCCCATCCCTGGAGCGAAACCCTGCGGAGTGAACTGCATCTGAGGCTGGCCCATGTTGTACATTCCTGCTGGAGCGAAGAACAACACGGAGTTAATGTAACTGCGCTCTGCAGGAGTTCCTGTTCACTTTCGTACTTACTGAGCAGATCAATAAATAAACAGTTTTACTCACAAACTCTAATAAATCCAGTTTTGCTTTGATATGTGGGAAAATTATTATTTTAAAGAGTAAACAGTTCCTTCCACATTAACCAGCCAAAATGTTTAATATACTAAAAAAAACATTTGGTGGTCTTACTATTGCAAATAGTTCCTAATTCCTTGATGTGTTTGAGAAAGTTCAAAGTCATAATTATAAGAATTCATTATATTAAGTTTAAATAACTTCATTTATAAAGGCACCAGTGCACACACAACGAGACAGACAACAAGCAAAGATTAAACCACATACACACAAGTCTCATGTCAAAGGTTTATAATGGTTTTAAAACATTTAGAAGTATTTAAAATGCCACCAGTAGCATCAAGTCCATAAATAAATAATAATAATCACAACCCAGTACTGATACTATTTATGGTCAACATCCATTCAATGTATTTACACTCTGAGGTTACTGACAGTATCTACATAGATGTTGTTATTGTAAGTGGCGGAGTCCACCATCCCTGCAGGATTCAATGTAGTTCAGAGTTAATGTTGTTAATAAAAGTCTGTTTACTCCTCACTCTCCGAGCACAGACAGAACATTTCGTACTGCTGCTTCACATTAAAAGCATTCAACTAGTGAAACACAAGGTGGCTTTTATTGTGACGCACTCACAGGTCAGAGCTCGATGACTCAACTCTTGTGTTTAAGATCTGCCGTACCACCGGACTTAGAGACAGCTCCTTCCCTCGGGCTGTTAAATTAACAATACAAATGAGTCATTTGTTTTTTTAAAGTAGCATAAAGGGAACTATATCTACATTTCTTCCTACAACCTTGTACATGACAATAAATTAACCTTGAACCAAGACTTCACTTGGAAAAAAAGGCTAGGAACTTTACAGTCACTTTGGAGTAAATGCAACTTCATAACTAACATTAGACCAAATAGATTAGGGCTTTGAGAGTGGGATGTTTTCAACACACCAAAACACACAAACACTTTTTATTACAGCCTCTAAAGAGGAAAAAGCTGCAGAATATCCCCAATCAGTCAATTTGCCCATCAGCACCGTGTGAGTCCACTGTGGGAATGTGATAAGTGGCAAAATAAAACAACTTTATCATATTTTCACTGAGTGGAAAGTCCTCAAGGAATGGAAAGGAGATAACTTATTTAAAATGACAAAATATCTGCTGACTTCCAAGTACAAAATGCTATAAACGTCCACCTGATACTGAAATATAGCTCAATTCATATCCTGTCTTAAAGTTTTAAAACCCTCAGCTGGTACAGATTCCAGATGGAATCAGTGACGGATCGCTAGAGGATTCATGGACTGTAACTTCAGTGTATTCTGACATTTTGATCATTGTGTTATTAGCTGCACTTAGAGCCACATCCATCCTGCTACAACATGGTCTCACACACACACACACACACACACACACACACACACACACACACACACACACACACACACACACACACACACACACACAGAGGATGGAAGTGAGTGATTTGGGGCATTAGCCTGGCGAGCTTCTCTTGGCTTTGATCTCCATCAGCATTTATTTGGATTCAGAGAGGACAATAAAGGCAGCAGAAAGCCGTCCATCTGGATTGCCTTCCCCTAATCCTCCATACATCAGTGGAATATAACCAATATGCACATCTCCCCGAAAAGAAAACGTGCTCCGATAATGCAAACACACTTCAATTAGCTCAGGTTGTCGTATGTGTGTGTATGAACATCCGCCCACGTGCGCGCACACACACAAACACACACACACACACACACACACACACACACACACAAACACACACACACACACACACACACACACACACACACACACACACACACACACACACACACACACACACACAGTCTTTACCACGTAATAACTGAATCTGCAGACTCTTCTGCGGTGGGACTTCAGTAAACGCAGTGTGAAGTGGACCTGCCTGCTTTTTTTTCCAGCACGCTGACCTTTCATCTGCCTTCACTCTCCTCCATTTTTATGCTTCATCTTTCCTCTGATGTATGTGTGAAAGTGTGTAGGTGTGTGTGTGTACAAACACCTACATCTGAGTGTGTGCCCTTGTGCTTACATTACTGTATGTTTACCCCACTCAGGAGACACTATACACACACATATTTATATATATATATGTGTGTGTCTAGTGTTTGTTTACATTCTGCATGTACTTCACACTGAAGCTGACCTGAGTCCATAAATGGAAGCTGTTGAGGATCCTCACCTTCAATGACAGACATTTATTTGGCCTCGAGTAAAGCACTTATAACTGGAATATGTAGTATTATTCTTACACTGCAATGATAAAACATTTGATGTATTCACCATCACTGGTTCCCAATCTGGGGTCACAGGATGATTCCAAAGATAGAAAAGAAGAAAACATACTGAATTTATTCTATAACAACCTAATTTGATTGATTTCTTTCTGATCTTACCTTTTTAAAAACTTAAATAAATAAAGTATCTATCTATCTCTCTATCTCTCTATCTATCTCACTTTGCTCTGATTTTATTCCTCTGACTTTATTTTGCTTCCTGGAATGTTTTTGATCCTGGTTCCCGCCACGTTGGACACTTTGAAACTCTGTTTTTGAAAAGTTCTGTATAAATAAAGTTTATTGTGATTTGATTCTGGGTGTGTCTGTAAATGTCGAATCTTCAAGCCAATTCTTGAAATTTGACCACTGCAGTGTTTTTCGTTTATTTGCCTTGAACGGCCGATGTACTGACTATAGAGAGCACTATGTGGCTAGCTAGTTACAAACACACCAACAGTGTACACACAGTGAGCCTGATCGATCTCGGGGGTCTTTCTGAGGCTGCATCGGGCTCCATTTCAAAGCTAGAGTGAAGATCCTTGTAGCATATAAAAACTAAATGATCTAAGGCATCAGGGAACAACATCCAAAGTTAAACATGGCGACAGAAAAACTGGCATGGCCATTTTCAAAGAGATCCCTTGACCTCTGACCTCAAGATATCTGATTGTAAATGGGTTCTGTGTGTTAAGAGTCTTCCCTTTGTAGTCTTGCTCACTTTATGTGAATTCTTTGCAGTTTTAGACAAGAAACATGCAGTATTTGTGTGTTGTGTACGTATATGTGTTACTTTCACCTTGTGTATTTGAATATTTCTGCACACTGGGATCCATTAACAGTGTTGGAATTACAAATTTAATCACATATACAAGTGGGAATGACCGGAAAGCTGAGACACATACTTCATGCCACCCCTTTATAAGACAATGCCCCAAATCTAAATACAAATTCAACAATATACCCATAAGCCTTTGCGCGGTAGGGTTATTTCCTGTAGTTCAGCTAGAACATGTATGAACCGAACTAAAGGGGTATATTCTTAAGAGTTGTAATAAACTCCTCATCATTTCCTCGACATCAATGTGTGGATGCTGGATGAGACCGAGCTCTACTGACTTGGTACGGATGACAAAGGGTTAGCAAAAATGGGGTGTGTGTGTGTGTGTGTGTGGTGTGTGTGTGTGTGTGTGTGAGTGTGTTACCTTGTCCTGGAGCAGGCTGTTGCTGACTCTGCGGCTGACTGCCCACTGAGCTGCTGGCGTACAGAGACAGGATGGAGTCTTTAGATAAAAGCTTCTTCTGCTCCGCCTTAGTGGTTGTGGTGGTGGAGGTAGAGGAGGACGCAGAGGAAGAGGTGGAGGGGTCCGCCTGCGGAGGTGCTGTACTGGAACCAGACTGTCAGGGACGCAGAGGGGAGGACGGGGATGAAGAGAAATGTCATGAAATATGTAGAGTTTCAGCCAAACATATTTTTTATCTGGTGGTGTATAATGATGCTCTTGGTCACCTTACACATTCATATATAGACACAGTGCACAGTTGGATATGTCAAAAGCAGGGCTGGGTACATTTTTTATGCCAGTGCTAATAAGATACATCAGTTTTAGCACTAAAGCAAACCTTCAATGCCTTGAGACATAATATTTAATGCATTTACCTAATCAGCAGAGAGAACCAGGACAGGAGGCAGCTTTTATTTTAGTATATTTTGTTAATTAAATGTCTTGTTTTGTCTCCCAGTTCCATTTTAAGTCACTGTTGATAAAAAAAAATCAACCTTTCCCTCATGTCTGTGCATAGCCTCACATAAATACACAGCACATTATACACACATTGTGTCTACATAATAATTAGGTGTTATGTTGAGTATGGAAGAAGTGACTGCCAGAGCGAGCCTGTTTCCAGGGGTCCGTGTCTGCGCCCGGATGGGGGGTGCCTGGTGCCGTTCGTTAGGATGTGTGCTCTGTGTGTGTGTGAAGGCTTTGCTGTTGAGGTCTGAGAGGTTGGGGGCCGGGGTGTGAACTACAGGGGAGCCAGGCTGAGCTCGGCTCCTCTTAATAAGACATGGGCCTCCCTGAAAACATGATTTGTGAGATTTTCTTTTGGGGGGGGGTGTCTCTAAAATATTGACAATGTCAGCCCCTCCATGATTTTGCAGGTTTTTTTGTGGGATTGTTTCTAAAACACTGCGATGCATGATGATGTTTTTTAGGAAAAAGTGAATCAATTCATTAAAAATTGAAGGTTCCAGTGAGAACAGAATTTCACGGTTTCTTCAACACTAGAACGAGTTTGGTGACTTATGACTGAACATTTTGTGCAGGAAACTACAATGTTTGGTCAAATTTGCAGGAAAGTTGCTGTGATTGGACAAAAGTGCAGAACTCCAAACTTCCTGGAGGAACTGCAATATGCTATCTGTGTCATGCATTTCTAGTTTTCTGCATCTGCTTCATCGTGGATTATGCATAAACTTAGACTACTGTTGATGTGTGATTTGTGCATGAGGGTGATTCATCACTAATTCAAAGACAGTGCTATTCTTGCTATCACAGCCCAATATCATTACCTTTGACTAACTTTGTAGAAAAAGTGAGCTCCCCTGAAAGCCGTGGTATAGTTCGCACTCTGGTTGGGTGAGCGCTGTTTGTGATGAGTTTGTTCCTGTTGGAGGTTAACATGTTGAAGTAACAGGGCGAACAGCAGAGGAGAATGGGTTGAACTGTGCTTTTATAAAGCAGCAATGGAAAGAACTTTAAGTTTGAGTCTTCGTTGGCAGCGTTTGTGACAGTCAGCGGACGTTCAAAGCTCGGAGATATGAGCAAGAATACATACTGGACATTCAATTCAAAACCTACCTATGCCTCTCCCTACAGGACCCTAATGTCATTTAAGATCTAACTCTTGGACTGTTCATTCCACAAACATCCACTCACTAAGTGTTTGTGCTTATACAGGGAGGGTACAAGACTGGCACCATATTCACTGACACATACTGTATATATCAGGGTGAGGAAGGATGAGACAAGACAGGCAAACAGGAGGGAGGCGAAGGGTAAGAGACGAGATAAAAATAAAGGTACAGAGCAAGAGTCGGATAAAGGACAGGAAAGGGGAGAAAAGAACGGAGGAGATGATAGAAGATGAGCATTGTCCCCGTAAGTGAGACAGATGACATTAATTAGGCCGCTGCAAAGAGAGGCAGACATGAACTGTTGCAGACAGGGCACACACACACACACACACACACACACACACACACACACACACACACACACACACACAACAGTCTCGCTCACATGAACCTTTTCATTTACAAAAAAAAATACCTTTCAGGCACACACCCATTTTGTCTAATGGATGGAGCTGACAAAAAAGTAACACCTGCTTAAGAGCTCTGAGCAGGTGTGTGTGTGTGTGTGTGTGTGTGTGTGTGTGTGTGCGCGCGCGCTTGTGCTTGTGTGTGTGTGTGTGTGTGTGTGTGTATGTGTGAAGTGAGGGGAGAGAGAAAGGGGGAGGCAATAGTCAGCTGGACTTCATGAATAAGATAAGGAGAGACTGTGTGATAAACACAACACACACACACTCTCTCTGGTGAATAAACACTCGTCACAAAACACTTCATCCACAACCGGTTCTCTTAGACACACACACACACACACACACACACACACACACACACACACACACACACACATTATACATTCTCTTAGATATACACAAACTTAATACACGCACACACACACACACACACACACACACACACACACACACAGACACACACAGACACACACAGACACACACACACACACACACACACACAAAGTGCTGCGCTCAACTGCTTAGCAGGCAGCCCTGCTCCCCTTTGCCTCTCTCTGCTGACTTCCTTTTGACTGGAGGAAGGAGGAGAGGAAGAGATAGCGGAAGGAGGGACGAGAAAGAGGAAGCAAAAACAGGAGGAGGGAGGTGGCCGGGGTGCAAAAGGAAGAGGAGGAGAGGAAGGTGGGGAGGACTGAATGATTGAAGGCTGAAAAACAAAGAGAGAATGAGAAGGGAGAGGAAAAAAGAAAGGGATAAGTTGAGAGGAAAAGAGGCAGGGATGAAACAGCTGAAGAGAAAAGAAAGGTAGCTAATCATGTCAACACACACACACACACACACACACACACACACACACACACACACACACACACACACCCCCCCCCCCCCCCCTGGGTCCATTTTCTCTCAAGTGAAGCCAGTTAAGGGGAGTCAGGTGTTGACGGAGGCAGGATGGAGCTCCCTTGCTATTAATAGCTGCGGCACATTAGCGTGATACGTGCTCCTGAGGAGAGCAGTGAATAGGAGGTGAAAGCAGGCGGGAAACTGTCCTCACCTGATCCGTCTGATGTCAGCGATGCTATATAACAGCACTCAATCAAGGAGCTAAGCCTATTTGCTGCTAAGCTTGTTCGCAAAGTTGAAAAATGCATTTAACAGACTTCAAATCCCCCCAAACTGCAGTAATCGCCCGCCATTCAGCTTCCCTTCTTCGAGATATATTTGTAGAAGCGGACGCTGTGACTCAGACAGAGTCTACCGGCTCTGAACCGCTGTGATAAGAACACGAGCAGCAACATGTTAACCGATGAAAAACCGCTTGCAGGTTGGATGAGTTTAATTAACTTTGCATTAAGATATGGTAACTAACTTTTCACTGTGTCATTGTAGACGTATGGCTTTGGTCCCTGTTTCCCTTTTAGTGTCTTTAAGCTCATTGTTTTGTCTCCTACTATAATATGGCCTTTGTCTTCACTGGGAAAGGCAACCATCTGGTCAAATGACTGCAGTAGTCACAGGTATTTATCGGCTCCAGCTCCGATCGGCAATGTGTCAATTTTAGTAGCTAGCTGATGAACATAATGGAGCATTAAACAGCTAAAGAGAGATATTTTTTCTCCGGAGTTGGGGGAGATTAAAAAGAGCTAAAAGAAGAGTCAACTACAACGAGGCCAACAAAATGTTCCATGTTAAAGCAGTGTTTCTCAAACTGAAGCTGAAAAATGTGGAGTGAACCTGAAACTGACATTCTGACAAGTAAAACTGCGGTGAGCTGCTGCACTGCATTGTTGGAAAAAAGCCATTGTTGGGATCGGGTACTCCCACTGACAACCAGTAAAGTATTGATTAAGTGTATAATATTACATTACATTAATTTTTCACATCACAACGGGAACTCATTTCAGTGTGTTGCTCAAGGACAAACAGATCAAACAGCCTATAATTAATGACCGACCGGTCCTACATTCTGACCTACATTCCATAATGGTCTCTGGCAAGCTGTACCGTCACAGACTTATAACAGACGTAACAATTAACACGATTTCAACCGAGCCCCAAATCAATTCAGCGTGATATTGTCTGATCACCGAAACTTTTCCACAAAAAGCAGCAAGTTGCCTTCGATTTTAAATGAATCATACAAAAAGAATCACAACTGTTTCTGCAAATTTCTCCTACAATTCCTTTGCAGAAGAAATGCCAAAAAACATTGCATCTCTTAGAAAAAGCTGCCGTGAAATCAGACATTGTAGGCCACAGCAACCCCCCCAAAAAAAGCCTGTGAAATCCTGCAGGGACTGAATATCATTGTCATTGGAAATGTCATTGTGTTAGTTCCTGTGATGCACATGAGGCAGTGGAGGTGTTTAGTGGCTTTTACCTCCTACTGGTGCACCTGCTTTTTAAAATGAAGGCCTTTTTTGCATAAGACTAAACATTTTCCATTGGCCTTTCACTCATCCTGCTGCCTGTGACTGCCAGACACTCCAGGCGCATTAGCTCCATTTGCACTGAAAGAACAGTGAAGCAATCCAGCAGATTTCTTGCCAAACAGGTGGCACACAATGCAAAACGCAGCGATACATCAGCCTAACCTCGCCTCAGAAGGAGGAGATATTCAAGCAGAGTACGTCACGTGTGCATCCATCTTTTTCTTTGTGTTTCTCGGTCACGCTGAGAAACACAACGTACACACACACACACACTGTCTACATAGTGTGTGGTGTGTTGCGGGGCTCCTAGCAGCACATTGTGTAACAGAAAGCCTCTTCAACAAGGCTCCATTCTTCTCAGCCAATGTTGGTGTTGATGGGTGCAGCCAGAGCTCTGAATTACCACTCTGACAGCCTTTTCCTCACTGTCGCTATTCATAGACCTCTACAGCCAAACACACACACACACCCCTACACACACACACACACACACACACACACACACACACACACACACACACCCCTACACACACATACACACACACACACATACAGACACACACAGTGGACTATCTTTCTCCCTTTTCCATCACTGCTTGAAACACTCATACACTCCCCTCTGATAGACCATCTGTGGCTTTA